TGGTCAACAACAGTGTGGACTAGTGCCTGAAGTAAGGTGAAGAAGGGACAACAAAAATGGACAGGGCGTGAGGCAGTATTGATGGGATCCATGGAGTGGGTCTGACCACCGTTTCTGAAGTTTCCTTCTACCTTCAAATCAAGTTATTCAAATTGGGGGTGGAGGAATGCCCTGAGCTTGGCATCCCAGAAAAGAAGACTGAAGGGAGATATGATAGCATTCCAGGAATACTTGAAAGACTGTCACAAAGAGGAAGGACGTGATCCCTTCTTGATCACCCAAGGTGGTGGACACAGATTAATGGGCTCAAGTTACAGGAAGCCAGATTTCAGCTGGGTATCAAGAAGAACTTCCTGAGACTGAGAGCAGTACAGCAATGGAACCAATTTCACTGGGAAGTGGTGAGCTCTCCCACACTAGAAGCATTCCAGATGCAACCGGGCAGCCATCTGAGAGGAATGGTTTAACTTGGTGTCCTTCACTGACCAGGGGATTGGACCTGATGGCCTCTGGCCCCTTCCAGCTCTTCTGTTCTATGATTCTATGCTAGGGAAAGTCAGAGGCAGAGAAGAACAGGAAGACCAAATAAGAAATGGATAGGCTCCATCAAGGAAGCCACAGCCTTGAATTTACAACAGCTGAGCAGGGCTGTCCTGGATAGGGCATTCAGTCAGAGGGTCACCATGAGTTGGAGATGTCTTGATGGCATGTAGCAACAACAACTTATATGCAGGGCCTGAATCTTGAACAGGAACAGCACTGCTGAAGGTTGCTGCTATTTTCGCTCATTTGTTCCCTCCAACCCAAGAGTCTTCAGTCAGCAATGTGGTCCCAAGAACTGGATACAGAAAATGCCTTGCATGCAAATGGCACCATCGTTCAAACAATTTCATGTTACAGGATTTCAGGGAGTGGGTCTGGGAAAGACCCATGTTGTGAGACTCTGAAGAGATGGATCCTGGCTGGCAGGAAATGCACCTCCATTGCAGAGCGCATATCTGGTCCCTGGCACCTCCCATTTCAACCATCAGTATCAATGGCCAAGCCTTGTGCTGAGCTTCTGCAGATCAGAGCAGGAAACATTGGACTAGATGGATCAAGGGCTCAACTCTACAAGGTCATTGTTCTTGTGAAAGGGATCTGCACTTGTGAAAGGGACCTCGGGGTGCTGGTTGACTGCAGGCCAAACGTGACCCAGCAGTGTGACGCGGTGGTCAAGAAGGTGAATGCCACCCTTGGTTGCATAGCCAGAAGAGTGGCTTGTAGATCAAGAGAGGTATTACTACCACTCTATGCAACTCTGGTGCACCTGCAACTGGAGTATTGTGTTCAGTTCTGAGGCCCTCATTACAGGAAGGATATAGCCAGGTTGGAATTGGTGCAGTGTAGGGCCACAAGGATGGTGGCCGGATTGCAGGGAAAGCCATTTGAGATGAGACTAGGGGATCTGTGTCATTTCAGCCTGGAGAACAGGAGACTTTGAAGGGATCTGTTAGTGACATATAGATACGTGAGGGGGTGTGGGTGTCATGAGGAGGTGGCTTGAAACCTGATCTTCCCTACAGAGAAAGGCAGGATGCACTCCAATGGAGCCAAGCTCAAGGAACCAAGGTTCAATTTGGATGCCAGGAAATACTTCCTGACACTTAGGACCTCGAGGGCATGGAATGGGCTTCCACTGGAGGTGGTTAAAGCCCCATCAGTGAGGCCGTTCAAGGATAGGCTAGACATGCACAAGGTGGGCATGTTGTAAGCAGAGCTGGCTGGAGCTGGGGGTCAGACTAGATGGCCCGGGAGACCCCTTCTGACTTGCGCTGTTTCGATTTCATCCCAGAATGGGGCATTACTGCTGCGACTGGCAAAGCCATGCCTCCAGATCCTTGGCAGCTTCATATTTGGCAATTGCCTTTCAGCAGGGGCTTCAAGAGCTGCTTCCAGCCAGGGTAGGGTGATTGATTCTAGATCAATGGCTGAGCACAGGCATGAAGAAGGCTGCAAGTTCATCCCCCGCATCTCCAGCGAAAGTACCAAGGCTGGGAAATCTCTCTCAGCATCCAGGATGGCTCACCCTGGGCCAGAGGAACAAACGGTCTGACGCTGTGCAAGGCCGTTCCAGGGAGCAAGTTATCCACACATGTTGCACCATCTGTTGCCATTATACCATCAAACACGTCCAAAGAGTTCAAGGCAAACCTTTGCCGCCGCTGCTCCTCGGCTGCTTGGCTCTTGATAACATTATTTTGAAGTGTTTTGATTGTGATTTTATTCTGCCAACAATAGCAGTGAGCTTGGCATTCAAATATTCATTTCAGCTGCATTTAGCCTTTTCGCTTCATCTTTGACGGTGCAGCGGCCTTTAAGGCTGCAGTCACAGGAGCGAAGAGGAACGCAAGGGACGGCAAGCCTAGGGAAGAGCTCAGTGGTCCTCTTGTGGACGGGCCATTTTGGAGGGTGTTTGTTCATGGGGACACCAGAAGTCATAGATGATTTCACAGCAGAGAACGGCAACAGCCCTGCTATAATCTTGATGAAAATCTCCATGGGCCCTGCTTGTGGTCATGGAAAGGAAGCTCCCTCTGATATTCATCAGGGCTTCCCTTCCAGTGCTAACCCCTGGCAGGGCAGGGCAATGTTTTGGTGGGACTGCAAGCTGGGGAAAGGACAGATCTGTGCATTGCAGTCCCCATTGCAAATGGGACATGCCATCACTCCGGGGGATTTCTATCAATCACTTTTAAATGCTTGCGTGTGCGTGTACATGTGTGCAGTCCTGTGAGTTGTTCGACCCCAAATGGACATTGCAGTACTCACTAGAATGCACAATGGGGTTTGAGTACATTTGGGGGCTGCACCATTCTCGGCACATTCAAGTGTGCTGAACTGTCCCTAAGTGGCCAGGCTGAGGCAAAGTCGGGCAAAGCTGCTCTCCAGCGCAGACGAGAAAAGCCGTGCATTTTGACAGAGGCACACAGGCCTCCTAGAGTATGTGGAAGATGACGGCACACAACAGCAACCCAGACAATCTCTGCACAGTCTCCAAATCCAACCCTTTCGCCTCCTCTTTGCCAAGGCAGCATCGACAGACTGAAGCAGCGCTTCTACCCGCAAAATTATGCATGCGTTTGTGCCTGAAAAGAGTCCACCTGTCTGTGCCAGCCGTCCCATCCTTTTCCTGCCAGGGGAGGTGGGAAGAGGGACGTGGGAGAAGCAGAAGGGTTTTTGGAAAACAAAGGTTATCCAAGACATTCTGCAGGCTTTCTGTGGACATGCAAGAGGACAGGAGGAGGGAGTGGAAGAGCGCGTGAAGACAGAAGGACTGGCTTTATTGCTGCCAAACTATGAACAGTGCAGTAAGACAAGCAGCAGAGGCCCAGCTCTCCTACTGAAATGCCGAGGAAGTCGATAAACATAATGCTGGCCCTTTCTGCAAGCAGAGAAAAGCAGAAGGGTTAGCAGCTTTGGAAGTCCCTCAGGGCTGGGAGAAGTATATCCATGTCCTGGGCCAGATGCGTCATAAAGACCAGCATTATACAGCGCTGCTTTCTTCCAATGCCTTTGGAAGAAGAATGGAAAAAAGTCTGATCTTCTCTGGCATGGGTGGGAAGCAGCGCATCTGAGCAACTGATCAGAAGAAAATTACTGGCAGTCGTGTGGTCTTTCCCACATTCGCGCCGGGTACCTTTTCAGGAAAGCCTGATCCTCCGTGATATTAATACATCTGATCTGATTTCTGCAGGGAAGCGTATATGAGGATTTTAAAAAAGGAAACATTAAAAAGTATTAAATGGCAAGCGCGCTTTCGAGCCAGCATGCCTCATAAAGCGAAGTGCAGGAGCCATTTCCTTTTTTTAAAGCTTGTCGACACATGTGATTTTTGGGTGGGGAGGGCGGTGCTAGGGGTGGATGAAAGCAGGAAGACTGGAGAGGCAGAAGGAAAGTATAGATCAATGATGCTGCACTTGCCAGCCAACAAGTTGTAACTCCCCTTGTGGCTCAAGGGGGTGGAAAAGTTACTCATTCCGACAATGTGTTTTAATTATCACAGGCTTCTCTGTCATCTCACCTTTTAATTTTGTTTCCACTCTGCTTTCCAAATATCTTTCTGTTCTACTGTTTCCTTTTGAACTTTCTGGCCCTCGCCTGGCTGCAGGACCCTGAACTTTGGCCCCAAAACCCAGCTCTAGCTGTACCACTGCTGATGCTGGATGCAACGGAGTGATTTCTAGGGATGCGGCCAACTGGAGATAAGTGTTTGATTTTATTGCACTCCCTTTCAGAACCCTGTTCCGCTTCCTCAGAGGCTGCTACCCAGAAGACACCAGACTGAGGGCGAGTAAACAAGCCTTCCTCTTCCTCACTCTGCTCTCTTCTGGGAAGGAAGACTTGTGAAACAAAAATGCACAGAAATAGAAGCATAAATGCTGCCACTTTGACGAGAAGTACATGGAGAGGGCTCAGCTGAAAACTCCAAAACCTCTTGTGACCCCTTGATGACAAATGTAGTTGGTAAGAAACAAGCTTTTTCCTGAACCCATGTCTGCTTCAACAGGTGCATGGACCATTGTCTTGAGTTGGAAGACGCGTGTGTCTTTGTACACACACAACACAGAACTATGGAAAACATTCTGAGGTCAAGTCAAATGGGTTCAAAAGTAGCCCTTCAGGTCTAGTCCAAAGCTCCTGAATACTAGCTTGAGTTAGACTCTCTGGGAAGGGCACTGAGACAATAGGATGTTTTAGCTACCCAGGATAAGTGGCAGATGCAAAGTCTCTATGGGATGCCCAGCCCAAAATAAAGGAAATGTTCCCATCCCATATTTTTGTCCAGAGCCTTACTCAACAAAGGAACAATGGCTTGTCTTCAGCTTTTTGCTTGTCCTTCCATACAAACTTTGATTTGTTAGGGGCACCGATTGACCATGCCCAATTGTCTCTTGTGTCCCAACACCTTCCCCTACACACACACACACACACACACACACACACACTTCTTTCCTTACTTGTACAATCCATCTGGCTCCAGACACTTGAAAATGACGGAGTAGAGACTGGAATCAGGCACATCCCCATGACTCCTTCCGGCAGCCACGCAGGCAGTTCCAAGGCCAGAGAGCAAATCATCAGCAAAGCTCAAGGATTCTCCTGCAAGCAAGAGAAGAAAAATAGCAAATGCACACATTTCTTTGTATGACAGAGCTATTCTGGGTGGGATGGAGGAAGAGAGTTTCCTTGCCTTCTTCTGTAACTCTGTAACAGAGGTGAGGAGACACAATACTTGCAGGTTCTAATTTGTCAGCAGAACCTCCAGGACATGCAAGTAGAACAAGCTTCAAAAGAGTAGCTCAGGAGGGAGGGAGGGAGGGAAGGCCCTGCATGGAAGGACAATGTGCTTCTGAGCACATGCTCAGCCCAGGAATTCCTTTTCAGTACCAGAGCTGGGACTTGCGCAGCTACTTTCGCATACAAGCAAACCCCAATTTGTTCTTGACTCAACAGCCAAGTGGTACTTTTCTCACTGCATACCTGAGGAATACAGATACCCAAGGGACCCTTCTTAGTGTGAAAAATCAGTGTGGAACCCATTAATAAGTAAGTTTCATGTAATTATTTTATTTGAACAAAATGTAAATGTTGCAATAATTAATTTCAAATGGAGTAAACACTAGTGATTTATACATGCATTAATGAACTCAAGTATTCCTTAGCAACCAAATAATACTAAATTTATGGAATGAAGACTAAACTTTAGTATAACATCACCAACAAATAATATGAAAAATTACCCTTTGTTTTAATGACTTGTTTGTGCTTGTCTTTGCCCCAGTAAATCTTACCATTTCACCGTAACCATAAGAGTAAAATGTCATGTTGAACTCCTGAATGATTTCCGAGGAACCCTGATTTCCAGGGAACATAGATTGAATACTGTTGTTTGAATGTAAGAGGAAAGGGCTTTTCACTAAGTCACCGACCAAAATCCTTGCTATTTTATTTCAGATCACCTAGAGAGCTACCTGCAAAGAGGTCAAACCAGTCCATCTTAAAGGAGATCAACCCTGACTGCTCTTTAGAAGGTCAGATACTGAATATGAAACTCAAATACTTTGGCCACCTAATGAGAAGGAACAACTCTCTGGAGAAGCCCCTGATGCTGGGAACAATTGAGAAGGGGATGGCAGAAGATGAAATGGATAGATGGAGACATTGGGGCAGTCGGTGTGAGCTTAAGTGAACTCCGGGGGATGGTGGAGGACAGGAAGGCCTGGAGGAATGTTGTCCATGGGGTCGTGATGGGTCGGGCATGACTTTGTGACTAAACAACCAACCAACCAACAACAAAACCAAGAGAGCTACCAGTATGTTCCAATCCAGTATGGAGAGTTTGTGAACTCTCAAGCACCAGCAAAACACACAGGCAGGAGATTCAGCGGGGACAAGACGAAGGGCTACTCCTACGTAGCTTAATTTGTTGGAATTCACTCACTGAAGAGGTGGGAGTGGATCGATCCCAGCATTATTGTCTTATAAGGAGACAAACGCTACAAAGAGGACCTGCAGCTCCATGGTGGAGCCCCAGTTTTGCATGATTTAAGTCCCACGGTCCCTCCTCAGGATTCCCAGAGAAGGCTGGGGAAAACTGCTGTCCAAAAGCTTGGAGGGCCATTGATGGTTCATGTAGCAGCCAATGCCGAGTAACAAGGACCTAGGTTCCATTTAGTATAAGGCAGCTTTTTATGTTCCTAGTTCATGGATGATGGGATCGATCGATGACTCTTAGGTATGGCGACTAAACAGAACTTCCAGATTCAGAGGCAGAAATGCCCATGCGTATCAGTTGCTCTGGGCAAAGCGCATTTCTTTCTTTAAGAAATTCGTAACCTACTTTTCTCCTCTGAGCAGGAGTCACAGAAGCCTAAAAAGCAAGAGCCCAGCCTTGCACTCCAACACATCTGGAGAGAAACTTCCAATATCCACTCATTAAAATACACAAGCTGAAAACACCCCCTCACACACTTCAAAACAAACAAAGAAAACCGCACAGAGGACCAAACGGTCAACCCATAAAGTTATGAACAAACAGAGTTCAACACTGGTTTTAAGAGAAGTACCTTTGCTTGCTAGTGGAGCACAAAAGAAGGTGGCTGGAGCTCTTGGTGCACGGGGTTCCCAAGAGGGGACACCAAGGAAGCCCTCTGGCATGTTGCCCCATCCATGCCACCATGCTGAGAACAACAGTTGATCTTAAAGTCTAGGCTGATTCATATGGGGGAAGATGGTCCTTCAAACAAACAAGTCTCAACTATGGAAGATAGCTGGTTGTCCATGCAGTTACACAATAAAGGGGTCATGTCATCCCAGCCCTCTGTCCCAGACCAAAATCTACTGATGGACTTCAGATCTTGTTGAGGCTTCCAAGTGGTTTTCAGGGGAATCCCCACATAGGACATGGTACAGTAGCCCTATAAAGATGGCATTGCATGTATCACCATGGCTGGACACCATAAGAGTGTTGGATGAAGCTGCATAGCAGCTACAGCAAACCCCCCCCCCCATCATCTTGATGGGTCTAGGAGAACCCCAAGCTAAAAAACAGACCTTGTAAAAGGAAGGCAAGCCCTTCTGGATCCCACCCCTGGACAAACAGCCCTTCCCTTTTGTCCAGATTTAATTTCAGTTTCTCTATCTCACCAGTTCACTGCTGATCCAAACACTGATCTAGAATCCCCATGTCCTCTCCAGAATATGAAAGAAAGGAGATGCAGAAAATTAATGTTAGTATGTTAACGATACATATATCATTAACAGGCTGATAGAAACTCACTCCGCATACAAGGATGGTTGGCAGTGAAGTGAAATCAGTAATTGTTGCACAAGGCACCCAAATAAATAACTCTGCAAGGGTTGCAAATGTAGCGTGCAGGGACATGCACTTCTGGGCCGCTGCCACTTGCCTTTGGGCTTAATATTAAAAAATATATTTGCTTATTATTTCAGAAGGCTTGAAATCCAAATTGTTCTCTCCTCTGACCTGCAGCCCTGCCTTGCCATGGATCTGCACGGCCCTGAAACTCCAGTTCCTCACTGTGAGTCAGGCTGTGGCTCTGACAGGGGACAATGGAACGGCTCCTGCACGCAGCTACCCTTTTCTTTCCTCCTTTTCCACCTGCTCAGAAAGGCAGTTGTGCAGGGATAGCTGCCACTCTTGGTACAAAACGTGCCATCTGGCCTGCTGGAGTCACCAACCCGCAATCCAGGATCTGGCTAGCCAAGTGACGGCAGAAGCACAACAAAACAAATGTCAGTGACTGTTCCGAAGGGACACAAATGGGCAAAGGATTTCTCCCACCACCAGCAGCAAAGCAAAAAGCAAAGCAAAAAGCATAGCAAAGCAGAAAAGGCAAGATTCACCATGTGGATGCCTCCGGCAATGTCTCTGATGGAACTCTGCCTAGGCTGTGTCCTTCATAGCAGGACTTCTTCCAGCAAAGTCACGCAAGGCTGGTCTGGACCAAAATGTGGGGAGGGGGCAGATGGATGTGACAAAGGACCAAGGCTTCAGAGGTGCCATGCAATGGTCGGGTCCCCAGACCAGAGAGCAGTCTTCTATTTGAAGTATTGCCCAGCTTACGTCTGATTTAACCAAAAGAAGGGGGATGCTGGGAGTCTTGGAGGTATCCCTTACAAGCTAGCACCAAGTCACCTAATCACAGCCTACTCCCCTGGTGAACCACATCATCGTTCTATTTAAAGCTATTATAGCTATTGTTTCTAAACCAGGATGTGGCATTTTAAGGGCTCTGTGTCCTCTTTTGGGGTGATGCGTCCGCTCACTTTGACAGTGTCACAACGGCTACTGCTTGCAATCTTCCTTTGGAGCACATGGCATGCCAGCCTCCAGGGCTGAGTGGTTCCTTGTCAACAAGCCTTTCGGAGGATCTCTGGCCATTGGATGAAGGGAAACTGAGGGATAGAAATGCGTGCCTGAAACAGTCAGGGGAGCAGCAGGCCTGGGCGAGCATCACAGTGGCTGACCCAGGTGTAGAACTGGAAGTGGAAGCCTGCACACACTATGAAAGGTATGATTGTGCCTCCAGCTGGTTGCAGGAAAGGGCAGATCTGCATGGAAGAAAGCGAAGAACGCTGCACCTGTTGCATGCCAGAGGAACTGGTGCCATGACCCACAGCCATGCAGTTTGGTGTGCCCTGAGAACCCAGCCATGGGGAAGGATCCACCCAAACCCATGGGTGGCTGAAAGGATTGGGACGGCTTTCAACCCATGAGAAAAAGCCGCCTTGGTGGAGTTCCTATGACAAGCTGGGCTACTAATACCAGGATGACTTAGCACACAGGTTTGCCATCTTCCTATCCTGTGATCTGGGCCACTACCCCAGATTAATATGAGAACATAAGACTGCTTCATCCAGATTATTATTCCCTTTCAGTCTTAATTAGTATTCTAATTCTGGCTATGGGCATCTCTCATGGTGATCACAATGCCACCTGGGACTTACAGGTGAATCAGGCTGTGTCAGAGAAAACGGAAGAGGAGGAATATTTCCCCTTCCTTTCCAAATCCACCTTTATCCACATCTGCATCTTTAGAGAAAAAAAGGAGCCGCAAGAGAAGCAGCTCAGCACCGATTCCCAGGCACAAGTAGGCACTCGGCTCCCCATTCCCTTCCTGTTTTCAAGGGAAGAAAAAACGACTCCAAGAGGCCCAGGATGGTTCTCACAGAGGGAGGCTGTGGAAGGAAAGGTATGCAAAGAATACCAATCAACTCCATTTTGGTTTCTTCTCCATTCAGGAAACACCTGGCCCTCGGAGCTCTGTAAAGACGTGCCATGCATGGTGTGTGTTCCTCACACCCTTTCTTTCTCCCAGTTTTCCACCTGAAGGTGTTAAGACTGGTGGAGGAATGCCAGGGGTGGGTGGGCAGAAACTGGAGAAGGGATTTGCTCAGATTTGCCCACCAAAACACTACAGACTTTTACTTCTCCGGAAACAAGACAACAGCCAGGATCAGTGGAGCTGCACAGTGCATACACTCGTGACATTCTGCACCCATAAAGAAAACATAAACTGACTAGCAGGAAATCCAGAGTCGGACGTCATTTATTAAATATATCATGAAAGGATTAA